CTTCCTTCCTTCCTTCCTTCCTTCCTTCCTTCCTTCCTTCCTTCCTTCCTTCCTTCCCAGTGATTAGAATGCAGTATTGCAGGCTAACTCTGCCCACTGCCAGGAGTTCAATCCCTACCGGCTCAAGGTTGACTCAGCCTTCCGTCCTTCCGAGGTGGGTAAAATGAGGACCCAGATTGTTGGGGGGCAAGAGGCTGATTCTGTAAACTGCTTAGAGAGGCCCGTGAAAGCACTGTGAAGCAGGATATAAGTTTAAGGACTTTTGCTCTTAGTGGAAGCAAAACATTGATCTTTCGCAACTCTATTTGACTCACTACGTCAACTCTTAATGGCGAGCTAAAAATGAAACATCTGGCTGGCTGTTTGGATTGCACACGGCGTGCCAAGAAATGAACGAGTTTTTGAACTTCGAGCAGGAAGCGTTCGGCATCTGAGTCCTTCTCCTTTCACAATTAAAGAATTGCCTCAAATCCCCCTACTCCAGGTTTCCTCATCTCTGCCCACACAACCAGGCTAAAATTTCTCTCTTGTGGTCGTGGCTGTGACCTGGAGTCCGTGACCTTCTCCAGACCTGACTCAATTTACTTAACCCACAGTTTGGCTTTCCTCTGTGGTGTGTGTGTGTGTGTGTATTTGTGCACCTTCCAGTCGGTCGTGACTCCTAGTGAATTGTCTAGACCAGTGGTCTCCAACCTTGGCAACTTTAAGACTTGTGGACTTCAACTCCCAGAGGTCCTCAGCCAGCAAAGCTGGTTGAAAAGAAGGAAAGGGGAGATAGAAGAGAGGAGAGGAGAGAGAGGGGGAGAGGGGAAAAGAAGGGAGAGGAGAGAGAATGGAAGAGTGGATGAGAGAAAAGGGGACAAAAGAAAAGAGAGAGGAGAGGAGGAGAAAAGAAGAGGAGAAGAGAAGAGAGAAAAGAAGGAAAGAAAGGGGAGATAGAAGAGAGGAGAGGAGAGAAAAGGGGAGAGGGGAAAAGAAGAGAGAAGGGAAGACGAGATGAGAGAAAAGGGAAGAGAAGAGAGGACAGAAAAGAAGGAAAGGAGAAATAGAGGAGAGGAGAGAAAAAGGGACAGAAGAAAAGGAGAGGAGAGGAGGAGAAGGGAAGAGGAGAAGAGAGGAAAGAAGGAAAGAGAGGAGAGGAGAGAAAAGGGGAGAGGAGAAAAGAAGAGAGAGGAGAGAAGAGGGGAGGAGGAGAAGAGGAGAGGAGAGGAGAGAAAAGAAGGAAAGGGAAAATAAAAGAAAAACCATAGGGCTGGAAGGGACCTCGGAGGTCTTCTAATCCAACCCCCTGCTCAAGGCAGGAGTTTTTATACCACCAAGGACAAATGGCTGTTCAGTCTCTTCTTAAAAGCCTCCAGTGATGGAGAACCAGATGTGGTATTCAGCCGGTTCAGCCCGGTTCAGGCAAACCAGTAGCGGAGATCGCAGGTGGGCCCACCCAGCCATCCACCCCGGCCACCATGCCATCCTATTCAATTACTAAATTAGATTACGGCCTCTGCAGCCCAGTCCAATGTTTTGGGGAAGAGGAGGAGTGACACACAGTGGGTGACTCAAAATTGGGCGCAACGAGAGGAAGCCACGTCAGCCACTGAACAGCAGCTGCCTTCACTCCACAAGCTCAGCCTGGTGGTTGAACTAATCCCCTTCTTGGAATTGCACAGCGCATGAAGCAACATTGAAACAGGACTGCCAAGAGAGGAAACCCACGGAAGATGGACTACGGAGCGAAGGGCAACCCACGGGGAATAGAAAGAGCGCAGAAAAGAGCAAGGGGGCTTGGAAGGAAGCCAGCATGAACGGCTGCAGGAAGTGAGGATGTGTAGTCTAGTGAAGAGGAAGACTAGGGGGGACATGATAAAGAGTCTTCCATTACTGGACGGGCTGCCCTAAAAAAGAGGGGGTTCAATTTATTCTCCAAAGCACCAGAAGGCAGAATAAGCAAAGAACAGGAGAAAACAGACTAGAAGAGAAGAGAAGACATGACAAGATAGGATAATAGCAATAGCACTTAGACATATAGCCCTCTCTGTGATAATATAGAGAAGAGGAGAATAGAATATTGAATAGAATATTGAATAGGATAGAATTAATAATAGGATCGGATAAGAATAAGAATAGAATACAGAAGAGAAGAGGAGGAGAAGGGAATATTAAATAGAATAGAATTAATAATAGGATATGATAAGAATAGAATACAGAAGAGAAGAGGAGAAGGGAATATTGAATAGAATAGAATATTGAATAGGATAGAATTAATAATAGGATAGGATAAGAATAAGAATAGAATAGAATACAGAAGAGAAGAGGAGGAGAAGGGAATATTGAATAGAATATTGATATGATAGAATTAATAATAGGATAAGAATAAGAATAGAATAGAATACAGAAGAGAGGAGGAGAAGGGAATATTGAATAGAATAGAATATTGAATAGGATAGAATTAATAATAGGATAGGATAAGAATAAGAATAGAATAGAATACAGAAGAGAAGAGGAGGAGAAGGGANAAGGAGTTCTACTCCCCCTCCCCACCTGAAAAGAACTCTGTTCCAACTGCCAGTTGCCTCACATTCCGTTACCTCAGTTCAAACTGGCAGACGTTTCATTCCTTCATTCAGGAGTGTTCTGGGGCTCTTTATAGTACTAAACATCAGTAACGCACCTAAATGTCTACGCCTTCCACCCATGGAACTGCTTCCGGACTCAAGGCAGCGGGAGCGATATGCCCTTATGTGTTTCAATCACCGACAACCTCTGAGTCAATGGATTGAACCGGAGTGAACTGGATTTCTCCTGCATTGCCTGATTAAATAGTTTCATCGGTATCCATGTAGTGCCATAATGGCAAACCTATGGCACGCATGCCACAGGTGGCACACGGAGCCATTTGTTAGGGCACGCGAGGTGTTGCCCTGTCAACTCCAGACTGCGCATGCGCGCTCTGGCCAGCTGACTTTGGCCTACTTTTAAGGCCATTTTTTGCCCTCCAGAGCCTTCAGGGAAGCCTCACGAAGTCTCCGGAGGGAGAATAACTTCCGGGTTGCCCCTAGGATCGTTATTTGCCCTCCGGAGGCTTCAGGGAAACTCCTGATTCCTCTGGAGGGCCTCCGGGGAGGGAGGGTGTTTTCGGCCTCCCCAGGCTCCTAGAAAGCCTCTGGAGCCTGGGGAGGGTGAAAAAACTGTGCCAAAAGCGGGGAGGGGGGAGTGCTGGTCACATGTGCATGTGTGTGGAGGGGAAGGATCATGCGCATAGCATTGTGGGTGTGGGCACGCCCGCGCATGACCCTCCTGAGCTCCGCCTGCTTTTGGCACGCGATTCAAAAACGGTTAACTGATCGTGTCTGTGTGTTTGTGTGTGTGTGTGTGTGTGTATCTATGTGTATATATATATATGTTTGTATGTGTGTGTATGTGTGTATATATGTATGTATGTATGTATGTATGTATGTATGTATGTATGTATGTATGTATGATGCATTTGTGCTGATAAATAAATAAAGGGAGACTAGTATAGATCTATTTCAAGCTATTTAGCTCTCATCAGCTAGCCATACCCTTACTGGGAATCNAGAGACAGAGACAGAGACAGAGAGAGAGGGAGAGACAGAGAGACAGAGACAGACAAACAGACAGAGACAGGCAGAGACGGACAGACAAACACAAGAAAGAGAAAGAGAGACTGAGATAGAGAGACAAAGGCAGAGAAAGACACAGAGAGAGACAGACAGACACAGAGAGAGAAAGAGAAATAGAGACAAAGACAGAGAAAGACACACAGAGAGACAGAGAGAGAGACAGAGAGAGTAAGAGAAAGAAATAGAGAAAGTGAGAAAAAAGACAAAGACAGAGAACGAGAGAGATACAAAAAAAGAAAGAAAAGAGAGAGATAAAGAGAAAAAAAGAAAGAGAGACAGACAGACAGAGAAAGAAATAGAGAAAGAGTGAGAAAAAAGAGAGACAGAGAAAGAAAGACAGAGAAAGAGAGATACAAAAAGAGAAAGAGATAAAGAGAGATAAAGAGAAAGAAAGAGAGAGAGATACAAAAAGAGAAAACGATAGAGAAAGATAAAGAGAAAGAAAGAGACAGAGAAAGAGAAACAGAGAAAAAAAAGAGAGAAAGAGCAACAGAGAGAGAGAGAGAAAAAAAGAGACTGAGAGAGTAAGAGATAGAAAGAGAGAACGATAGAGACACAGAGAGAGAGAAGACAAGGCAATCGGTGTGGGGTTAATGTCATACACCTTCTCTCTCCCCCCCAAAAAAATTAAACGAACAAGGCAATAAAACAGATCTTTTCCAGGGATGAGAAAGAGGGACGCATCGCCTTTAAGGAGGAAAAATTAATTTTTTTAAAAAAATTAATAGCCAGAATGGGTTGAGACACCCAGACGTCCAATCAGCATATGGCTACATTAAAAAAGAAGGCAAAAAAACAAAGGAGGGGGGTATTGTAAGCGATTAATTATATTTTATGTAAACAGCTGCTCTCTTTAATGGCGAGACTTGTTCCACCGTTTTCTGCTGAGGTCGTGTCTCTTTTTTTTCCTCCCTAGGGCTGTCTCCAAAATTTTGAGGAGGGGGGTGATTAAAATGAACCACTGAGATGGAGAGGGGGAGGAATTCATCATTTTCAAAATAGCTGGTCCCCTTCTATTAAATCAGTGCTAGGTTTCCTATTTTTATAAAAATGGGACTTGGGTTCAAAAACACGACGCAGAATTTCCCGGAGCATAGCTCCATCCGACTTATTTGAGATACAACTTATCTTTGGGGCTAAAGTTGTTGTTGTTGTTGTTGTTACTATCACTATTATTTTGCAGCGGGCACACTGAGGTAGTGGAATGTGAGGCAACTGGCAGTTGGAACAGAGTTCTTTTCAGGTGGGGAGGGGGAGTAGAATGCCTTAGCATCAGAGCGTGTTAATAACTGCATAAGAAATATTAACGATCAGATGGTCATTTCTAAAAATCCTTTCTTAGCGAGCACCTAGAAGCCGAGAGGAACATACGTGTCAAATTTCAAGTTTGTAGGCTTTACGGTTCTGGAGATTTCGTGATGAGTGAGTGAGAAATTGGAAAGAGACATAGAACATATCATTAAAGGACATTATAACGGAATTTTGAAAGCCTGAGGGAGACGCCGTCTTCCCCCTCTTATGCCTAAGACAGGGGTTGACAACTTGCGGCTCTGGAGACACATGCGGCTCATTCATCCCTCTGCTGTGACCCCCTGTCGTTGGTGGGCTCCTATCGGTTTGGATCGGTTTAGCCGAACCGGTAGTGGTTTGGCGGCCTGGGTCGCTGAACTGGCACAGCCATCTTGTTTTTTTGTTTCTGCACATGCGCAGAACAGTTTTTATTGCACTACACATCAAGCACACGCACAAAGCACCCACAAGCGAACCGGCAGTACTGACTGCCGGTAACCACCCCTGGGAAGCACGGTACACCAGGAGGAGAGACTATGGCAAGGGGCGGGTTTTCCGGTCGGCTCCACAATTGATAGGGCTTTCGGTTACGACAAGTAGAGGAAAAAGGATGCCACGCTAGGAGGAGACTCTATGCTGGTGGAAGCGGACTTCCGGTTGGCTCCAGAATTGAATGGGGGGGCTTCCAGTTAGGACCTTTGTGGCTCTTTGAGAGTTTAGGGTTGCCGACCCCTGGCCTAAGAGAATCAAGGAAGGACAATCATGAGTTTCTTTCTCACTCTTTCCTGCCCTCAGCCGGTGCTTATATCTATCTCTATCTCTATCTCTATCTCTATCACTATCTATCTATCTATCTATCTATCTATCTATCTATCTATCTATCTA